TCAAATTCATATCACACATTCTTATCATTAAGAGGTATAAACTGTTTCGATATCATAATTTTTCACTCAGTCCCTCTTGTAATATATAACTTAAAAAATCGTCAAAATCGAATTTTGAGCGTTTTTGAAAATTCATATTTAAAAAACGACAAGCTTTTCAAGATTGGAATTTCATCAGCAAGATGTACTGTAGCAGGACTACATATGAACAAAAAGTTAAAGTGAGACTCTTTTCTTAATTACACTTTTGGACCTCTAAAAGTAACTTTTTTTTGTCTATTTTCATTCCTTTTTTAAACCACTTTTCTTTATTTTTAAATGATGTATTAATCAACAGAAATGTAGAAAAAATACTCGTAATTATTTAAGTTTTTATTTTGGCTTGATATCTACAAAATAACCAAAGTTACAGGCATTTTCCCAAAACATATTTTCAGTCAAAAAGAAAATTAAAAATGGCCACTAAGAAAAAACTGTGAGCCTTAAATTTTTTTTTATTTTGGCTTTGAACTCTTATGGAATAAATAACCAGTAAAAAAATTATAAAAATCAAAAATGTCAAACAACAAAATTAATTCTAATTGGGTGATTTCAAATAGATTGACCCAGTTTCAATACTTGAACAATCACTTTAATTGTTATTCACAATATTTTTTAAAAATGTGTTACTATGTTGAAAGGAAAACCTAATGAAAATGGATCCATATTAAGAGATAAATGTTCCAGAGGGTTTCAAGTTTTTAGTAACTTTAAACTGCCAGAAGCAGAAAAGTTTAATAAGGAAAAGTGTTCTGTCAATGACAATTGTGAATAGATGGTGGGGTGTAAGTAGTATTCTTATATAGTTTTGTGTATGCCAGTGTGTTACTCCAATCTGGAGAACCAATAATAGCTTATTGCAGTCTGACAGGTTGTCGATGGGTTCACCACTTTTCTATGTCAGTATGAAATTAAATAACCAGCAGAAGCAGAACCAATAAAAAATATAGCTTTCTTATATTTTCTGTAGAATGGAACATGTTTTAAATTTACAATAATTTACTGGCTGATAATTTTCTATAGTATTTTATTTTTTAGTTGATTCAATTTATATGAATATACTTGCTGATAAAATACTAACGTCCAGTAAAGGTTTCCCATAAGTTATTTAAAGAAATTAATTTCTGTGATCTATTAGAGATTATATGTATATTGTTTTTGTTTTAATTTTAAATATTTTATAATATAATATAACATTGTTGAAGAGCTAAGTTACTAATAAGAGTTACTAAGAGCTAAGTTACTAACTCTGTTTTTTTAACCGACTTTTTACAGGAATAATTTAATTTAAAATTTTTCTTTTGGTATTTTCCCTATTCTGACTTGCATCATCTGCTTATTCAATTTTTTTAATTCTTCTTTCATCTGTTTATTAAGCCTAGACTGGTTCATTTGGACCATATTTCCATAGAATTTGAGCCTTTATTTTCTGAATATTACTTTCCAGGTCTTCAATCCTATTAAATCCTTTTTTTCATTTGATTTCTGTCTGTAGCCTTGTCCTCCCTTTATGGAGCTGGCACTTCCCTGTGGTAGCAGAAGTGTCCCTTCCATATTATGTAGGGACGGAGGAATCGTAGGGATTTTCCCAGACCCTGTAACCATTCTCGGCATTTGGCACTAAGAGATCCAAAATATGATACTATTGGTTGGGACCACTTGAGATTCACAGATTACAGAGGTGGTGTTCATGTGTTGGATGCACCATAGTAAGGAGTAGTCAGCTCTGTGGATCTATCCTACAACGGGGTTTCTGCAATAGTGGATTAATACATTTGGTATATGTAAGCCCACTGCTACCAATAAAATACTTTATTCTCAACATCTCTTATGTTGAGAATCATTGTGATGTATTGGATATATATCATTGTGATCTATTGGATATATAAAGCATATATAAAGAATATATAAAGCCGTGCAGAAGCAAATTCAATAGAGTTCTAATTATAGGGGGCGCTGTCAGCAGTTTCGGGACATGCAAAGTGGATCTCGTGATCATCTGTACATCTCTCGCATCTCTTTGTCATAAGAGTAGCCAATGTGATAGGAGGGAGTAGTACCTAGTACCTAGCTGCCAGACCTTAACCGATACACTCTTTGGTTGAGGCATGGTGGCTAGGTGCGACTTCCTTTGATTCTGACCTCTTTATTGACCCTTATACACTGTTATACATGAGTTGCTCTTTATACAATAACCTAATTGGTAAATTCAGATTGATAATACAATCCAGGCATTAGGTATATGAAAAACCTCTACATTATACATCTTTTATTTCATTTTAACTTTTACTTAAATCATATCAAAGTCAACTGTAAAGAGCTGATAAATTAAGAATGAAAGGTAGCTGTTCTGAATAAATGAAGCCTAAATGCTGTAACAACTAAGGCTATTTAAAATACAGGATCTGAACATGATTACTGATGTTCTTCCAGTCTTCAGCTTCCTTTGAGCTACTCGATCTTTAGTCCCTATTATCTGTCACTCAAATTTTATTCTAATGCGATCTATTCTCTATTATCTCTTAATTTAGCAAGACCAATGGGGAACCTTTCTACTCAATATAAATGTATGCTACCACCAGTATGTTCTTAGATAAAAGAATTTTTTCTTTAAAGTTTAGTGATTATGGTGTTTTTTCTCATCCTCAGATACCGATATGATACTCAACTAAGTTATCCTTAAAATGTTTCCCTCTCTAGTATGTATAACATGGTATGATTTCCTTCATAAACTGAGATGTTAAATCATGCCTACTAATGGGCTATGAGTAATAATCAATACCCGGTTACTGCCATGGATAGGCTCATATATGTTTATTGATATATGAACATTTATATTCATTTATGAATATTTTTATATTAATATAAAAAATATTACATTTTTTTATGGCATTAATTTTAATTTTAATGGCTTCATTCCTAGTATGGATGTGTACCCCGATAAATCGTATAATAACTTAATAACTTCATTAATTGAATCTTCTAATTGAAGAAGATAACAGAATGCCTAAGTGTGATCAGATCACTAGTCAATAAGCTAAGATGTAAATCCTAATAGTAATAAATAATAATAAACTTTTGTTAGTGATTCATATGGCCCTATTCGAAAAGAAATATAATTGTAGCAATATACAAAAAAACAATTATGACCACTCAGCTTATAGTTATATATCAAACAATATGTCATGGATTTCACAATTAATTGCTCAAATCTACCAACATTAATATATAATGAAGCATATAAAATATAAACCAGAATTATAAAATTTACTATATTTTGAGTAATTTACCTTCAATATGAAACTAGGTCTTCAGTCCAATATGTTTCTACATGACGAAAATCTATAAATGTATATTTTAAAATGAAAAAAAAGATGTTACAGATGAAATTACGTGTTACAGTCAGAGTTAGATTTACACTATTGCTACTTAAGAGCTAGTAGGAATCTACCTATATTCTTTAGGTTAAAATTACCTAAAACCCAAAGATAATTGTGAAAAAAGGTTACTCTTAGATAAACCTGGAATTTTTATATCTCACAAGGGTTGGAAATATTTAATAAGGTAAAAACTGAACATAACTTTATCATTTTATTGAAAATTGGATAGCTAGGATTGCAGATCCCTTATATCCCTGAATTTCTCAATGGATACAGTGCTTTTTATATTTGTGAAGTATTTTTAGTAAATATTCAAAGTGATCCAGTAGGATGTAAAATTTCAGAGTAGAATTTCATTCTTTTTAAAATCTTATTATTCATGAATGATAAACGGCTTTTACAATTAAAAAACAATGACAAGATATAAAACCATAATATTTTCAAAAACATTGATATTAATATCAGTTTAGTTATTTTAACTACATCCAAAGGGAGAAAGGGTCAGAATCATATATCCTCATATTTTGGAGTTCATAACTACTTAAATCTACCAGAATAAGAACTTAAGTTTTTATATTTACGCCAATACACGTAAATAGGTATCAATGTAAAATAATCATATAATCACATTTCGGAACTTCCCCTCACTATTAGAAAAAAAATACCAGTGATTGAAACAGCAGTAAATCAGATAGTAATTTATGAAATAGTTGCACAAAAGTGATCATTTCTTACTACTACGATCGTAATCTTAAGGATGTTCAGTAAAACTAAACAATTAATATAATTAAAATTTAAACTAAACCTGTATTTAGGAGCAGAGCAGTGGGCAATCAATCTACAAAAAATATGGTGGCTTGCCATTGAAATTGCCTCCAAATCTCCACAATTTAATTATATCTAATTAATTGATTTCTCAACTCAGCCATTAAAATAATACCAGTTATTAAAAATAAGTAACATTTCAGATTAATTGATAATTGAATAAATATGCGATTTATATTATTTGAAGAGAAAATAAATTTAGTACCAACCTTTGAGAACTGAATTTTGAGCATGGAATTCATTTTCAATTTAAAAAAGCAAGAGAATAAAAATTTAAACTAATAAATATAAGTATTTAAAATGTAAAACCGATTAATTAATACTTAACTTTCAGATTTAATCACAATAGTTTTCAAAAATATTATCGATTTTATTATCTTTATTTTAATTTAATAAAAAAATTAATTCGTAGGAATAATAGCTTTGCCACTGCATAACATAAAAAAAAAAGTTATAATTTAAAATCTTGGAACTAAAGGACCATTACATTATTAGCATACTTCATTTTCTGTTTAACTCGACTTGCTACGTCTTTGATTATGAATGCGCTGGATCCAAATTTGATGCAGTCAATCAGTCGTTGAAATAATTTTTATAATATATTTTTTACAAAGTGAAAATTAATTGTGGTTCTCAAGAATTAGCACGGTCATTTTTCTTGAAACATATGTAGTTGTTTTGTTTAGTTTCGTACCTAATACGTGGATCTCCATTGAGTAGTTAAGAGCAAAGACGAAGTACAGAAGAGCTTTCGGAATGAAGCTCCCTTTCCCCTCCCCTCACAAAATGGTAAGACAAAACCATGTCTTATGAAATAAATACTAAACCTTATCTCTAAAAGTATTATTGTTCGTTTTATTTTATTTAATAGAACTTCAAGAATCATTTAAACACCATTTTGTAAAGGTAGTTAGTTTCTTTCTTTTTCTCGTAGTAATAATCGTTGTATATATATAAAATATTAAGTTTTCAGGCTGAAGCTCCGAAAAAAATTAAATCCTGTATCCATTAGTGGTAAAGAATAACTAACAATTCAGGAGATTTGACCCAGCTCATTTCCTGCATCTGATAATCAAGTCAATGAAGGATTATAGAGAGAAACGAGAAGGGAACAAAATGTTTGACTTTAGGAGTTACTTAAAAGTCCCCATAACTAGGAGGTGAGCTAGTTATGGGAGGGGGGGGGTGTCCCTAGTAGGTCAATTACTTGTCATTAGCTGGATTGGAATCTGAAACCTTGAGCTCTGGAAGTCAGTGCTCACCCACTGAGCTACCCCGCTCCCTGATCTTAATAATAAGCTATTAATAATCAAATTGATTAATATGCTCATTAAATGTACACATTTGATTGGGTACAGCCTACAGCAAGAAACTAGCTGTATGTAGAAGTAATAGAAATTGAGAAATAATATTGAATCTAAAATCTAGATCTCTGTTTCTGTGATACCACTATTAAGTATTATTTGGTTCTAAAATTTTCATTTATAAGATTTTATGTTTGAATATTGTTATACATTTTAAAGTAGTTAGTAATAATTAAGTTAAATAAAGACTATTAAAATATTTAATACTATGAGTTATAGTTATTTATTACTAATGATATTATTTTAAAAGAAGTTTCTCATTTATTTCAGGCAAAAGATTTCAGTGCTGCTCTGTATCAATTCATGATTGATGAAAGCACCGAATCTTGTAAAAATGTAAGTAAAATTTATCATTTAGTAATAAAATGTCAATATATGATTACTTTATTTTATAGGCAGATTTTAATTGAACCTACCATCAAACAAAAACTGGTTGGTTGAATGTAACTTATTTTGTTTAAAATAATATTTTATATTTACATTATTATTTTCTCTTCCAAAGCTTCTTTTTTAGAACTATAGCGAGTCAACTTAACAAATACATGTTTGAACATAAGATAATGTTATCTAAGTTAACTGTCTTCAAAACCCATTCTTCATCTGCTGCAGTTTAATCTTTTTCCAGAAAAATGCCAAGGAAGTTGGCTAAAAAATAAATGCTCATTATTATGGATTTAATATTTTATCACACCCCAACCGCCAGCTGCTTACTTCAAAAACCACTGTTCATTATTAATTTTGATGTTTCAGAAAAAGATTAGGCTTCACTTAACTGTTCAGAAAGAACCTTGCTTCACAGCTTATGGCTTTTTTGATCTTGACTTCACTTTATTACATTCTGTAAGTTTCAGTTACAAAAAATAATTATATATTATGATGATTTTTATTTAAAATTTCAATTAATTATAGGAAGTGCGATAAAAGTAATATAAAACTGAAACATCAGAATATAAAAGCATGTTTTACACTGTAGAACAACAGTCTTTTTCAAGAATACAATCTGAAAATCTTAAGATTTATTCTAGAAAAAAAAAGTATGTATATATAAAGGAAGTGAACATGCTTTAAATCTTTTTCCTAGTTGACCTTTTTCTAATTTATATAATTTTATCGCCTTTCCTAAAATTATAAAGCAATATAGAAACCAAAATTGAAAAAATATATATTTTATTACTTATTCCACAGATAATTGCTGCAGCTACGACATACTTGGTTATTTTGATTCAGTTTTCACAAACCACTACCAGCTATCCAAAACAAGCACGGCTTAACTCAACATCCGCTATCAATTCAAGCTATTCAAACTATACTGAGTAGTTCTAGTTAATCATTATTGTAGTGTCTATAAGCAATGTGAATTAAATCCCAATAATTAAGAATCATGTATACAGAAAACTGTAATTTTGAAGAATTACTGATCCTAACAGTTTCAAAGGTTTTTATTTTATGGCAATCCTTCATATAACATTATTTTGGTTAAAAAAAAAAAAATTGATTTTGAAGAATAATTAAAAAACAAACGTTTAATTAAATAAATTGAGCTATTTTGTGAGAGTATAATTCTTCGACGTAAATTTTACTTCCTATTTGACCTTATGGTATACAATTTGATTTATTTTTCAATATACATTAACTTAAGTACATTACTAAGTTTCGACATCATATATAGTTTTTTTCTCAGTAGTCTGTTGATTATTCTTTTCATGTTTATACTAAAAAACCTGTAGTACTACAAGCGATGTAGGTTCCAGGATTCAGTGCTTTATAAGGAAGTACGTGTCTTTTTTGTAAAAATCCGCTAACTGGAAGTGGCACTTTGTACAATGGACTAAACACATTTTAACGATTATCCCGAAAACAGCTCTAACGATTTTGATTAAATTCAACATATTAGCGTAAAATTGAGCAATTTTAAATAAAATGTGATTATTACTCTGATTGATGTTCTCTAACAGGACTTAAATGGCTAATTTTCAATATTAGCTTCCACTAAAGTACCTTTAATTATTTTATTTGAAACAATTGACCATTTCTATTATGAAAAATGGTTAAATATAAAATATGAAAGAATTTGATCAATAACTAAAGTAGAAATAAGAGATAGTAACGGAGAATAGTTGTAATTGAGGAACCAAAGGAATACGAGCGCCAAAAGATTAGAACACGCTTCCGTACGTATCATGAGATTAATGTAATACGGACTCCGACAATATTATATAAATATACACATGTGGTTTTCATAAATGGTATTGTTGGTATCATTTAATATTTAATTGTATAGATTACAGCGATATAAATATTAAAATTTATATATATGAGAGTACTTATACAAATAAAAATACCCACAATGAAATATAAATAAATATAGAATCTATAATTTTTACTTTCACTTTGCTTTGTCTTAAAATACTTATTTCTGCTAAGAGGGTGGTAAATGAAAGTTGTGATGGGCGCACCAGAGCAGATATTTGTTTTACTTACATTCTATAAATATATAACAACTATAATTGTTTATTTACTGCTATAATTAAGTTTTATCGATGGACTGGGGTCTGCTGTGTTTTTGTCTTCTTCAGATGAATATTATCACAAAATTTTGAAAATGTACTGTTTTCCTGATGATACCTGAATTGGCAAACATTTGGATTATTTAATAACAAATAAAATTTATGACTGAGACTACTGAAGCCTAAACCACCACTTGTACGCCTCATATAGTCTCCTTCCTGTTGTCCTCACTATTCTTAAACAACAACAAATTCTTAAAATATTCAAGGAAAATATCTCACACAGGATATTGCAAAATGGATCACTGGTATTTATTCATTAAGAAAGTTTTAAGATTGCCATTTTTGAATTACTAATGTGATCAACCATTTAGGAAGAGACAATATAACTTTAGTTAAACTTTTCAATAAAGAACAAAATAAGATTCAGTAAATATCAGAAAAAGGTGATCAATAGAAATTAACTATATTCATTGTTTTGTATTTTATTAACAAAATAGGTTACATTAAAAACTTCATTATAATGTTATATACATATACATATATCTATAAGATAATAAAATATGATAAACAAAGAGGTGGCTACTCCCAGCCCCAAATACCAGAACAATCTTTTATGGTATCTCTATTCTCTCTTCTTTTTCTAGTTACTGCACTTGCTTCACCTTTACAAACAGCTCGATGCCTCAATTCCTGCCTCTCCCTTTTATCAAGTGCCTTTTTTACTTTACCCCTAATGACCTCAGGTGGAATAGTAGATGTTGTAGAGACACTCCGTATAAATGAAACGGTACTTCCTTTTTCACAATCGCTAATTTCAGTGCTTTCTTTTTTCATGGCTTCTAAATCCTTGAGCATCTGCTGCGAAAATTTAGTATCACAATCTGGGATCTGGTCTTCTGAGTTCCTGTAAAAATAGTCCATTGATCCACTTTATAATTTAATGGTTAATTTTAAATAAAACTATTGATATGAAAACAATATTTTAGAACCATCGATAAAAAAAAAAAAGGCTAAACTTTTAGGGATTTTTGCAAAATTTATTTTAGATACTTTTTTTTTTTTTAATTTTAGCCAATTTATAAGTTTTTAACAACCAAATCTCAGACAATTACTTATTAAAGCCATATAAATATTGAATCTATAATGCATAAATGATGATCAATCATGAAAAGTAGATTTTACAGAAAGTATAGCAGGTACAGTATCATAAAATAAGGAAACAAAAACTTGAGTTTTTATAGAAGACTTGATTGATTGAGATGAGTTATATTAATATTAATGCATTCTTCCAAACGAGTTAAAAACTTTTTATTACAATACTATCAGAATAGAAATTAGTGACCTTAAAATTTCTGAATTCTGAAGACATTCAAATTAAATTTCAATATGGGTGATCTTAGTTTCTAAAACAATAATTGTTAACATAATTGGTAATTGGTTGACTGTCGTGGATAATGAAGAGAAGAATAGTTGGGGTGCTCAGTTAAAAAAGGAAGGCAAAAATAAATATTATAATTGGTAAAAAATAAATATTATAATTTATTTTTTGCCTTCCTTTTTTGACTGAGCACCCCAACTATTCTTCTCTTCAATAATTGTTAACAATGATATAGATAGATAAATACAAGAATATTGGATGCTACAATTATGGTAGTAAATATATAAGAAATCTGGAAATCTAAGATATTTATATGCTTATCAAGTAAATAAATACTTCAAGCAAAATCAGTCTTATTCAATGGATCATATTGACTTTGACTAACTATTTCGGTACTACTTCACTAGCAGGCCGGGTGGAAACCTCACTTCTTATCTATGTTATCTAACATCACGTCACGTTACATAAGCTCCCTCTTCTTATCCCATCAAACCTCTCAGTTATTACATTATTTATTTTTCAGTCCTTATTACACCCCTTATTACGTTTACTAATTAAATTCTTTATTTTTGGCCCGTTTGTGTTTATTTTTCATTTTTTTTTAGTTTATTTTCGTTAAATTATGAATCTTGTTACATTCTGGGATTTACCGTCTTCAGAAGAACAGGCTATTGAATATTTTAGATTGAATATTCAACTCGGGTTCATACTCAACACATAAAACAATTATGGGGCTCAGATAAGTGGAGAAATAAAATACATAGAGGAACTGCCAGACAACACCTCGATTTATATTTATGTGAACTTTTGTGGCGGCGGGTATGCAAAGAAGAGGACGCATTCCTCGCTATTTTAAATAGCATAAAACTATTTTACCTCCAAAATAAATAACACAAAGTGAAAAGAAATTGTACATATGTCGTTTATAGTGTTGATATTTTTTCTTTTATATGTACATATGTTCTTCAAGTGTTTTTTTATTATTTAATTTTCATCTTTTATATCTGCATATGTTCTTTAAGTGTTTTTTTTATTATTTCATTTTCATCTTTTATATGTACATATGTTCTTTAAGTGTTTTTTTATTATTTCATTAATATATATGTCGTAAAATAAAAGTTTTTTTTTGTAATTACATTTGTTTTTGTTTCTGTTTACACTTTCAACAATACGAATATAATACAATAATACGAAGAAAGGAATTACGAGAAGGCTTATCACTGCCTTATCGGAATTATCAGTGTTCAGGTTATAAACATTGGCAGATAGCAGTCAGTCCCGGCCTGCTAGTGAAGAAGTACCCCTATTTCTAATGAATTGTATCACTACAAACAAAATAGAATTCAGTCATTATGAATTTGTTGCGATTTAAAAAACTTTTCTGCAAACTAAATGAACCCTGCTAAACTCTACTATTTTGTTTTTTTAAGCCCAAAGACTTCCATTTTATCCAAGAATCTATTGTTTGTCACAAGTAATGATTCAGCAACGGAAAAATGCCTTTTTGTTAATAAGTGTATAGTAAACTTTACACTACTCATTCTTTTCAATGCCATTCACAATCTCATTTTTCAACAAGTCTGTTACAGCAATGTGATCAGCACTATAATTACTTAATAATTTTTCCCAACTTTCTTTGTAAACAAGATGTAATATAGTTATTCATATCAAACCATTGAACATAAAGTTATGTTACTAAAATTTATTTGTTAAATAATTGTACAACTTACGAATTTTCAACAGCACTTTTTTCATTCTCTAACTTTAAACCTTCTAGATATTTATCTATGTGGTCAGGCAAAGCTTCACTTGACAAATCAAAGTTATCTGGCCTAAAAAAATATAATTAATTAAAAGGAAATCTAATTTTAGAAAATTAACCTCAAAGATATATAATAATAACCATAAGACAAAAAAGTTGATTTTTTGAAATTTCATGGAGAGTATTAAAATTATTAATGATAACAAAACTAAACTTACAATTTCTCCACTGATTCACCATTGTCTTCATTTTGAACATCAGAATCGTCTATATCATCACTTGCCTCATCTATTCCCATTCCTTCAAGGAGATCTTTATCCATTTGTCGAGTAAATCCACTAGCAGATACTTCAACATCTAAAGAGTCTTCTCTCCTTCATAATAAAATACAATATTATGATTACCAAATAGTAATTAGAAGAATAATGAGAGTACAGGTAGATGTTTCTAATTTTTCCATTTCATAAATCTCAAAGAAAGAATTAATTTTAAATAAACAATCATTAATATTAAAAAATTAATTACAGGTTTATTACTATAATTTACAAATCTGTTATCAATATTTAGGAAGAATAAATAGAGGAAGAAGAAAAGAAAATTGTATTCTGGGACATTCAGTCCCTCTAAATAAATAAGTAAAACCACTGAACTTACTCAATATCATCAAATGTTGGAAATAATTCACTTTCATAAGCAAAACGTCTTCTGAAGAAATCTTTAATACAAGTCACATCCCTTTCGAAAAACCTGAAACAATTAAATCATTTGGAACAAATAATAACAAAAAAATAATTCAAATGCGGACAAATAAACAGATAAAGTTTTTATAAGAAGTTTTATAAATAAATTTAATAAGTTGTTTGAAAAATGCTATTATGTATAAAATTAATTGTAATAGATCTACAAGAAGATTTAATTAAAGTACCATTGCTGACCATCATTACTCAATCATACTGCGACTTATAAAATGACCAACTACCACACATTAATAGCTTCTCCTAATAGTATAAAGGTGGAAAAAGTTTCAATACAAATTAAAAGCATGAAACTTTGAGTAAAGAGAAAGATCTGAGTATAATTTATAAATTTATGATATGAATAAACAGGCCCGAAGGACTCAATGATCATCTAGTGTTCTCATCATGATGATCTATTTTACTAAAAATTATTTTAGAAAATATTAGGAATAAAAATATATTTCATGAAGCCACAAAATAAACACCAATCATGAGATAGATCTTAATAAATGTAAATAATTTAACATTGTATTTATTCAATATTGAAAAATAACATACATCTTAGCATTGATATGATTTGTAGAAACCATTTGTGGAAAATCTATAACGATTGGTTTTCCTTCTTCAGTAATCATGATATTAAATTCATTAAAATCACCATGAATGACTCCATGATTAGCTAGTTTTACAATAAGATCCATCAACTCATCATAAAGTTTTTCAACTACACTTTCTTCTAACTGGTAAACTCGACTCCTAAAATATGACAAGATATTAATGAATAAATACTTCAACTTTACAACATACAAATTAATATATTATTACAATTGATTGAATAGCTTATATACCAAAACATTTCATCAAAAAACAATTTAATATCTTGGAAACTATTTACTACAAATTAATAAAATTATAAAAATCATTATATAGATAGGCAAAGGAAAAACAGAGCTTTAGTGTTTTCAATATTTTTTTTTGGAAATGATGTACATAAATAAAAGTATAAATGTTAATTTGTTTAAAAACCGTTAATCTTCAAAATTTCTTCACTGATTGCTTTGAAAATTTTGATACAATGTTGCAACGAAGTTCATGAGTGTTTTAATATACATTTCATTACCATTTGGTCTTATGTGCCAACTTTTTCTCAGATTTACCCAAGAATATTACCTTAATACCTACTTCATTGATCTAATTTTTTATCTAAACCTTCCAACTTACATATTATACTCAGTCCACAGATTCTTAGTTTGATGCATTAAACTATTGATTCTCCCTAAAACATATTATCTTCCTCAAAAATTCCAGAATCCCTCCTTTCATTCAATAATATGATCAAAATTTCATAGGCTATTATTCCCAAGCTTATTTCTAAACAAATTTCCTTTCCATTCCTAAATCATTGAACACATCAGTCCTCTTGATTTTTATAACAATTGTCAAGTAATATTTTCTAAATACCTTGCCTGACCAATGTGCATAATGTTGGACCGTTTTTTGGGAAATTTAGTCCCAGAATAAAATTTTTTTTTAAATTTCATTTAGCACCATATTTTCTATCAATTCTAAAGTTTTTTCACATATAAATTTACATAACATTTTTGTTGTTGTTAAATCCTACAATTTTTTGTTTGACGTGCTTCTATGTAATATGAGAATAATGATCTTGACTTTATCATGTAGAATGTATGTGCATTTGATGCAATATGAGAATAGTGAATATAAATTTTATTTTATTACAATACCCTGTGAATTTAGCTAGAGTAAACTAATAAAAAACTATTGAAAATTTGTTTTTAGTAGTAGTAATGAAGACAATTATACCGTAATCAATCTATAATAAAAAGCTATTATAGTCGATTTGGCAAGATAATGCTTCAGATTAATGGGACATGACTCAATGTTTTCCCACATTTTATCCTTTTATCCCAACTAACTCATATCATAAGTAACTGACTGACAATACAGAATGATGGGACAAATGTAGTCATAGAGAAAAACTGACAGGTGAGTGTGTGAAAGGGGCCAAGTGAGATTGGTAGTAAATCAATATAGTAGGCAGTAAATAAACTTGTGGCATTATCTCAGTGAACTGACTATAGTATCCATAATTTTTTTACTTAATTTTTAAACACACAATGGATACAGAAATTTCACGAATGTAAATAGAACTAAATCAAGCACAATTTAACTACATAATGAATCCACTGGATATAAAAATGATATTTGTATAATACTAATTAAAATATTATGAGATATAACTAATTACAAATTACACTATATCTTACATTGGTTGACCCTGAACCAAGTCCATTACGACACAATGCCTGTTAACATCTATTGGCTTAGGTACTGGGAAGCCTCTATTGTACAAAGCTGTCATGTAGGCATATTCTTTTGTAGCTGAAATTCGAGATAAATATAACCAAGATGCTTTGTGCCTATGAGCATGATAATCTCTTTTTTCCTTCAAATTACGGAAACAAATTCTGCCTAGCCTGAAAATTAAGAATAAGCAGCTCATAACAATATTCAAATCAATCCTTCATAAACTCATACATTATAATCTTAAATACTGAATGAAAGAATTTATACAAACAAATATTAATACATTTAACACACTATCGGATAAAATTAACACATTACCTCAGATTTCACTTGTTTAAGCAAATTACAAAGCTTTAACCCAGTATGGCCAAATATCTATTAAAGTCAACTATACTTCAGAACTAACCAATATTTTTATTTACTAGAAAGAACTCAATCCTCAAAAAAAGGTGGGTAAGTAGTTATATAATTGGATCATTTTTCTCATGTAATTTTTGCAGAATAACGAATATCTGATTACAAAAAATATTGGAATTTAGTTTTTATAATTTGGCAAAGATATGATTTTTATTTAATTTAAATATGTTCATGAAATAGTTTAAGTAATTTTAATTTAAACGACAATGAGATAATGAGAAAAACATATTTAATATTAAAGAAACACAAAATCTCATGTGCTATTTTTATATTTTAACATCTAGCTTATTTTATTTATCTATAAAAGAATCTTGAATTAAACATATTTATTTAGAGAGGGTGAAAGAATGATAGAAAGATATTTCTTGGGTGGAAATGAACCTAGAGAAGCTATTCAAAGCAACTAAAAACAAGATATCCAAAAGTATGAGCTAGGCGATGGAAATCTCTAATGTTCTATCTCGTCATGTCGTTCGGTCCCCCACCCCACTTTTCTTCAACACTAATTATCTTGATAAATATAAACCAGAAAAATTTAAGGCATATTGTGTTTTTATTGTTAAACTTAAAATTCACTGAAGAATGAAGATTGAAAAATCATGCAATTACGAAATTAAAGACATATTAAAATTAAAATATATCAGTTTATTAAAAATAATTTATTTATGGAAAACATTATTAATATTTAATTTAATCTATTAAAATTACCTTTGTAGCTAGTGCTACTACCTCTGGCTTGCATTAAGACGATGAATCAGGCTTCCTAGACCCTCAAAAAAGGTCATTAAATATAGGATTGAATCTTCAATCAAAACTGTTTTTAACTTGTTAAGTGTTCGGAAATCACAAAGAAGATCGCAAGAACGTAACCATCACAAATACTTAACAATGCCAAAGCATGCTCTATGAACCAAAGATCTCGATTTATTTACTAGCCACTTCAGAAATATAGTACAATACTAATCTCCAACAGGTACTCAATTACACTTTGAGCTCTGCACAATTGTGTATTGCCATGGTTTATAAGAAACATGATTCCAATCTAAAGAACAAATGGTGAACTATGGTCCTCTAGTATTCTACGTACTTACTTGCTCTTCAGTTCCACAGCACAGGGTGGCCTTGGCTTCCATTACAATTTAATTCCATTCTTCACAGTCATGTGCCTTCTCTTTCCAGTCTATAATCTATGTATAGATACAATATCTGATAATCTAGATCTGGATAATCTGCATGGCCAACCAACCCTTCTTTTACAAATAATTTTACCATGTAGTAACCTGCTCGGCATTCTATTTGTGGGCATCCTTGTTACGTGGCCTAACCATTCCATGCGACATGATTTTATGAATTGGATCACATTGGTGTCTTTGAATCGGGAACACAGCTCTTCATTACTGTGGATCCTCCATGTATTGGACTCATTTTTGAATACCAATCTGTAAATATTTCTTAATATATTTTGTTTTGAAAATTCTAAGGCTACTATTCATTAAGGCAGTGAGAGTCCAAGACGCAACACCATAAGCAAGAACTAGTCTTACTGGTATAAACGTATTTTTGTGTGATGCGATAACAGCGAGGATCTAAAAAATTTAATATTTGTGTAATACGCTTCATTAGCTGCCATAATCTTCTGATTACTTCATTCAACATTTTATTTTCCTGATTAAAGGTATTTTTACATTCTGATCACAGGTAGATAAATCTGCTCACCCTTTCAAATTTATATTCATCTCTGGTCGGTAAATCAGTAGTCTGTTCTGGCCCTCCTACCTTGATATATTTTGTCTTCTTTCCATTAATTTGGAGCACTATAGTATTGCCATGGTTCATCAGAAACCTGCTTCCAATAGAGAACAAATGGTAAAGAACTATGGTCCTCTAGTATTCTTCGTATCTCGAGTAATACTATTATTCTCACACAATCTGAGACATATTACTGAGGAACATGCTTAAGCATACTGTAAATGCAACTTATGGTCAAGTTTTATTGTTTTTTACAACTGTAAAGGAAAAACAGACCAAACTCAGATAGGTACCATATAGAGAATACTAAGATTCAAAGCCATTAAATAATAAGAAAAAAATAATCAATATTGTTAGTGACTTCTTGGAAGAGAATGACATTTAAAATTCCATAACCATGGTCAAAATAAGAATGGTACTACTTTACAAGTGTTGCTTCAATTTTATGGGTGGGCATAAGATCTCATTATCACAGTATAATAGGAATTCCAAGTATTATTCACATGTTCATGAGTGTAACCTCCCTTTAATTATATCAAAATTTAGGACATTTGCTAACTCTCAACTGGTCCTTTTCAATTACAGTTGAGAAACCTAAAATATAGGTTTCATTACAACACTGCTTTCAACTTCTGCTCACTGGGATATACAAATGCCAAACAGATCCTTTTCAGTTGTGTTCAGGGCTTTACCAGACAGTTCGGTCACCACTGTATATTCTCGAGACATATTCTTAGAATTTGTTTATAGAGTGGCCAAGAGATCTTGTGCCAACTAGCAAAGTGCAACAGCACATGTAAATATGTACCGTACCAACTAAGTAGAAACTATCAAGTTAAAAATTGAATTATCTATTATCATAATAGTTTCACCTGTGAAGTTTCAAGCAATATTCTGTTCCATCTTCATTTGCAACAATATAAATATTAGACTCCTTTCCAACACCAATTTGATTGCCAAAGGAGTAGACAGAACCACGAGAAGAAAGTGTTTTAAGAGCTAGATAGTCATAACCCGCATTTGTGAGTCTGTATCCATCATCTAGAAACAACAATACATGAATACAAGACATTTAACATAAATAATAATACTGTTTACAATAATACATACAGTGTTTTCCTCTTTCATATGACAATAGCCTATTTTTACAGAGATCTCTCAAAATTTTATGTACCCCTCCATGCCTTAAATTGGCAATTACAGCAGCAAGTGCACCTGGAACCAGTTCATGGTTTTTCATCCCCATTTCAATCTGAAGTAAAAACAAACTATTAAACTGAAGTATGTGAAAGATAATATAAAGTATTTTCTATAGACAACTTACAGCTGTAAGCACTCTAAAATCTTCTTTCGAAAGATATCTTAATATAGTCACATTCAACTTCCCCATATTTAGAGAAAATCAATAGAATATTCAAGTCAAATAATAACAACTAACAGCAACTTTAACGCATGTTTAGAAAAGGTTAGAGAAAGGTTAAACGTCATGTTATTTGTTGACAAAGTGAACCTTTCCAAAGAGGCAATTTTAAGACATAGAGAATGTTCTGGAATCAGTTATGACAAAATTAAGAATTACAATATAGAAAGTAGCATTTTTAATGTATAATGAATTTACATAAGTAAATTACGATATTATTTGGTATTTGGAACGCTTTGGTGATGAGGCACAATAAATATATAATTCAAACGGTTCCATGGCATTTTTGTTTATTTTTTCCTTTTTTTGGATAAAGGTGGTGGCCGAGCGTGACTAAAATACGAGTATCAAAAGCGGTCCTGGTTCGAATCTGTTATGGACGGATTTATTTTTAATTTGTGGTGGACCCACAACAAAAATCTCGATGTTCCCAATTTGGTTCAAATTTGATGGTATCATATGCGTCGGCACTAGTGTTTGGGTGTGACAGAATTTTCTGTCACAGCTCCGAGAAAATCACTATGACAAATCACACACAGTGATATTTTTTTTAAACCAATAGAATGTACTGTTGAGAACAGTGGGTAGGACGAGGATTAAATATGACCTCTCGGTTGGCACTACAAACCATGAAGATCTTTGGCCGCGAAATGTGTTCTCCTTACAGATGTATGTTGCTGGCGGGAGCTCAGATAGCCCGGAGGGAGCCACCCAACCTCATGTTGCTAAGACCACCATGGTCTCAATGGTGCAGCGGCAGGTCACCCGTAGCTCCATAACCGACCGATCCCTTTGGGGTCAATCTTGTGTCCTTCCCACCGACTCACTCGGGTTCAAGGTCAGTGACAAATCGATCTAGATCCATGGATTATGACTGCTCGAAATCAGTAGGCGCAGGAGGATCTATATTTCTTTCCCCCAAACAGACTGTCCATGGACCGAACTTTAGGGGGGCTATTAACATCCTGTTAGACCAGATCCCTATTCCCGATTATGTACACGGGATAGTCCTAAGCCCGGTCGGTGTGAGTTGACTCCAGTAGGCTGACGGGCCTCACATTCCCACCCGGGGGGACTCGGGCAGGCTGGCTTTTCCTGATGGACGTTCACCCAAATCGGGCTGTCACCCATCCAAGTGTAACCACGCTCGACGTTGCTTAACTTTGACCTATTGCAAGCGCCTTAGCCCGTACGGCTACCCCAGCCCCATAACCTCTTGTATATTATATAATAATTAGGCAATATCTTTAAACAATATTTTGTACCATTCATTATTAATGAGAAGGTAAGATATCAGTGATAAATTTAATATTTGACTGAGAAAAAATATCCCTGTGATCCCTTGGCTTCTGTATACAGCTCTGCAGAGAATATTTTAGTTTATTAAACTTGAAATTCATTTTTCATCTATATTGCAACAGTTAAATGATTTTTAGAAGTTTATTTGATTATAATTGGCAGGTTATAGGTGATTGGTTGTTAGAGTGTAGTGGTAATAATTGGAAAGTAGGTTAACGATATTAATAATTTTATAATATTATATATTTTCATTATTCATGGATTTTAAACTTCTTTCAGAACTGTAATTATTTCGGAAATTTATTTTATGTGTTTGAAAAATAATTTAGTTATAAAATAAATGATAATCTAGCAATAAATAAAATAGTGAATGAAAAACTTTCCATTAATTATTTTAGGCATAACTCATTCAGAAATATACGGCAATGACCGTTCAATTTAGTCAAAGTTCAGAAAGCATTTATAATAAAATTTGATGAGCGATCAGAGCTGTGATTTCACAGCGCCTACTGTGACCGTCACTGTTGGAGTACAGTGATTTCACAGCTGATTTCTCTGGAAAAATCCCATACAAATAGATCATACATGTTTCTCAGAATTCGGGTTATTTTCCCACTCAAAACCATAGAAAAACATTTTTGCCATAGTATGCCTATGGCAAAAATGGCCCGACGAAAGTCAACAAAAAGAACGAAAAGATTAGATTTCTCTCTTAAAAATTTGTTTTGGAGAACAGCATTCAAGACGAAAACACCTTAGCATCCAATATTTTACAGCCATTTACTTACAAATTAAAAATTTAGGGACGGAATGACCGAGTGGGCTATATAGTGTGCAAAACATACGTTGTCCAGAGCTATATGTGATCAACACAAGTTTACGAGATTTCCAATTCCGGTGCCTCATTATAACCTCTGTAGTTTAATTTGTCCTTCTTCCCCTTACACAATTATGAAAAAAAAAAATACCACATATATACTTCTAAAATCTATTCTTTCAAACCATAGTTACGAAGTTTCTCCAGATTTAGTGTGGGTCCATGTTTTAAAGCCATAAGTCAGTATAAGTCGGATCAGAATTTCTGAATTTGAATTTTTTAGGGCTTTAATATAAGATTACTTTGGAGATGTTTCTGTAGTGAAAATAGCACCGGTTTGCAGCTATTATTGTCCCTTTGATTTTCACACTTATGTCATTCATTTCATTCACCTATGATCCAAAGTATAAGAACTCCGCAACCTTTTTAATTATCTATCCTTCTATTATTATATTTACCTCGACTAGACACTTTTGGATTTGCAGCAAAAGCTGATCTATAGAGAGGATGTGGGGAGAGGGATTTCAGGCTGAAGCCCCTCCCAAAATATATCCATGCCTTACGAAAAACATTATCTCTAAGTAGTATTATTATTAGTTAATTACATTTAATAGGACTTCAAGAATGACTTTAACACAATTTCTTGTAGGTAGTTAGTTTCTTTCAAAGTAATTATCGTCATATATAGATAGAGAGAAAAAAAAAAAGCTTTCGTTCTGATGCCCCAAAGTTAATTCCTGGATCCGCTAGTGATTTACAGTAAGATATTTTGGTTTTGTTGCAGTTTATCCTAGTTCTATTTTAGCAGCAGCATTCTTCAGTGCTATAAATGCTTTATTAACAGCTTTTAATGACCATCCTGCCGTCCGCGAATCTCAGAAAAATATAATTTTTTTAAAAATTAATTTTTGGTCAAGGAGAATTCAAATAGATAAAAATTAATTCTCAGAAAATGTTTAAAATTAAAAAAAGAAAGAAAAATATTAGTTCATTGAAAAACAAATAAAACATGCAAACCTGTTTAGTGTTTGAGCTCAAAAGATCTGAAAATGGCTTCTGCCAACTATTGTATAAATCACTTAAATTATTTTTTTTTGTTTTCTAATTAACATTGGAATTTATTATTTTAAACTTTTAAATAGTACTCATCCGAATTTTCACTCAAACAAGTAATTATTAACAATTGATTTTAACTAACGTATTTCAATCCAAATCAATTCATAAGCTATTACAAGATTTAAAAAAAAATAAACTAAGTTACACTCTAAAGCTTTTCCTTTTGAGGGTAATAAAATGAATAAGCATATGAATTGATATATTTTATTGAATTTGTAGGCCTCTAAGTTCATTATTTAGTAAACTCAAACAAAAATAATATATTGTCACTTTTTGGAAAAATCTCTAATGTGCATCTTTACATTTCTGTTTTTCCCAAGTAACTATAGAGCAGACCAATCATTAATCACTAGAAAAAGCTTTTACACCTAGCTCAAAAAGTTTCTTCATGCTTTAAGATTTGCCACCGCTACAATTACCACACAGAGCCTCATTTGAAATTTTTAATGCACAAGGATATTTTTCTGAATAAATAACTATGTATATTGTACTTGTTCACCTATTGGATTGCTATTTGATTATAATTTTAAATAAATGGGTCTTATTCACATGAATCTCACATATAAATTATGAGATTCTATTAGTTGATGTAATAGTGTTGTACATTAATTATTAAACTGATAAATGGTTGCAAAATATTACCAAGTTTTTACTAGAGATCTATTTTAACAGGAGAAAGTTTACTGCAAGTGATTTTGTTGATTGATAAATGTTATTTCTATGTTATAGATAAATTTATTCATTAAACATTCATGATTACCCACTGTTTAAAAATATTGTGATTAATTTAATCAGTTGTAAGATAAAAAAGTATACTGAAAATGATTAAATGTCTAATATAAGTGGATTAAATTGATTTTGAGCGTGAATAGTAAGTTTTAGTTTATGTTAATAATTTTAGATTGTCCTATAGGTAAATTAAAACATCCATGTTCAATATTTCAGAACAATTTTTCTTTACAAAGGTATTTATACATTTTATTAGAGTCATATGACAGGTTTATTCTCAGATTAGTGTGAGATGAATATTTTCTTCCAATTCCATTATAATGTTGCTTGGAAAGTTTGAACAACTGATTTATATACAGGGTATCCCATAAGTAGAAGATAATATTTAAAAGGTGATAGTAGACGTCAAGATCTACAAAAAAGTTGATATAAAGAATTGCCTAATTTCTCGCAAAAAAAAGTAGGATAATTAAGATTTGTGTTTTTTATGTGTCATATTTTTTGTTGAATAAGAACCGATAAAATACAGAATATGATTTAAGTAATTAAAAATTGATTCATATTAAACTTGACAAAATATAATTCAAACAAAAATTGGGTTAATCATTGTTAAAAAAAAGTTTAAGGAGTATTGAGCGGACTAACACAGCTAAATATCATTTAAAAAAAGTCATAAAATATTTGTGATTTTTTTTAAACTCTTTCAACTGTACTACAGTTACTTTACTTTTAGAAGAACTTCCTCGTTTAATAAGCTTAAGTCCATATTAATTAAGTTAAAGTTTATTAGGAAACATTTTGAGATACTCCTCAAGTTTTGAATAGAAATGTAATTTTCTATCTTGTCACCTAAAAGTACCCGTGTTTTCAGCAAAATAGACTACAATTAACTGTTGAAAAGCTTTTATTTCTTTTTTTTTTCATGGTATGGGATGTATTGTAATAAACATAAATGCCTAAAAGCACATTTTATTTATAAAAATGAAAAAAATTAAAATATTGATTTTTCAAATAAAGCTGTTATGAATCATAAATGGTGTTTTTCACCCGAATTTCTGTGATTGGAATTGAGGCATATTTACAAATGACAAAATTAATGTTTCTAGCCCTAATATTTACGTTTTATTCAAAATAACTAAGCAATTAGTAAGATTCTTTATTTTAAACAATAATTTTAATAAGAAACAATAAGTTTGTCACTGATGGATACTTATCAATTCCTATGACAGGGATCTGAGAGAAAAACACAATTCCATAACCACTTTACATGAAAAATATTTGAAAAATCGTCATTTTAAATTTTTTTTTTTTTATAAATAAAATCTGTTTTTAGGCAATTATATTTATTACAATACATCCCATAACACGATAAAACAATAAATAAAATCATTACAAAAGTTAATTGTAGTCAATTTTGTAGAAAACACTGGTACTTTTGGGTAACTGGATAGAAAATCACATTATTTCTTTACATAACTTGAGGTGAATCTCAACATTTATTCAGCAAACATTTTTTTGTATTTCAATCCAGCTAATTAGCATCGGCCTGCTAACATAAATGGCAACATACTAATAGATGGTTGATCTGAAAGAGGATGGTTAGTAGGAAAAAACGAATCATGTATCATAGTATATCAGATATGGCAAACATGACTGTTTCTGATCAACCATTAGTTGAATAGCATGCTAGAAGAGGATAGGATAGGACAGTAATGAAAACTACAAAACATGAGAGGAAGTAAAAGAACTGGTTTGGCAGAGAGAAAAACAAAATAGCAACTTTTTAATATTTATTACTGCTTTTATAATTTGATGTCCAAATATTAACAAATATAAACTGTTATTTGTTTTAAGGAGAAGGATTTTGTTTGCTGGTGACTTAAACAAATAAATATTTTAAAATGTGGCCAAATTATTTATTAGGCACTTAGGCAGTAAATATAAAGCATTGGGAACAATAATATTCTAATAAGTTTCATACTATAAAGTCAAAATTAAATGGCCAACATTTATTTGAGCAGTTATATCTAATTTATTTTGAGCAATACTTTGTTCCTTATATATATATACAAATTGCACAATCCATATTAAAATAACATCTATAGTCGAATTGAAACTATAACAATTATTACTAATTTGTTTTTATTACTATAACTAATATGAACAAATTCTACAAGAATATAAACACTAAAAATAATATTTTGAATCGATGGGTGTTTAATACAACATAAACTATACAATATGATTGAAAAAATAAAATAAAAAAATAATTGAACAAAAATTTAATGTGTGAATTCTTGTATGTTTTCAGTAAAAAACATCCATCAATAACAAAACAAGTAAAATTCATTTTAAATGGCACCCTGAGATGAACAATGTTTTTCTAACTTCTAAAACATATATTCTTATTTCATAATCGAATACCATGTGGCATCGATAATCACGTTTAACATTCATTCCAATACTATGTTTGATGACATTTTATTTTATCAAACTGTTATTTTCCCAAAATCATTTTTAAAATCTGGGGTCCACAGAATGTAAAATCTTATGTTTTCTTCATTACAAGAATAAAGATGGATTAATTTGATGATCCTATACAATCAAGTTTTTTATTATTCCTTCTTTATCAACGAACTGAATACATCTTAAAAATAACATCTAATTACAGTACTAAGATTACAAAAATATCTTGTAATAGAATTAGACAGACTATAGTTGTCTATTTGGCATATCTTTTAAATAAGTAACATAATAATGATTTGATTGCATGTCTTTTACCTTATTAGCTCTTCCTAAATTACATCACAATTCGTAAGAATGTTTCAGATAAATAACATTTAATACCAAAACTTCATCTTAATATAACACGTAAAGTCATTGGAATGTTTTTATTCACTTTAATTTTTTTTTTTTTTTTGTAATAACAAAAACAAAGAAAACAAAAATTGACAGATTTTACGATTTCTAAAATACTGAATTTTTTGTTTTTATTTAATTTCCTTTTTTTTCAGGATACACAGTTACTGTCGAATATCCTTGGAGGAAGATCCACCAGTGCTCTGACTTCTAGTTACTTTAACTTGATCAACTTTAACTTCTGGATGTTTATGCCGACTGACAGTTTTTCGGTTGGCTTTTACTATTTGATTTGTGGACAAACCTGACACTGGGTATTTCAGTTTTGAATTCTTAGAAGAGGGTGATGTAGGATTTGAAATTGATTTTGAAAGAAGTGTTGAAAATATTGATTTTTTTCCAGTTAGATCAGCTGTTGATGCAGATGAGTCAACGTGCCAGGATTGAGGCCTACTTTTTTCTGGGTGTCGAGGCATCACGAAGGCATTAGTTTGCTTCAAAAGACTACGGTCATTGCATAATGCAGAAATTAAAGGAAGGTCAAGATTTTTACTTTTTTCTCTCAATGAACTGATGTCCAATGGCGTTTCCGGAGGAGGGTCCCTGCGTGGAGGTGACTTCCGAACAGGGGAAGTTAAACCAGCAGTGGCCTCAAGAGGTGTGGAAGTCTGAAAAATTAAATCTAATGTAATCTCTAACATATTTAAATTACTTATAGTTTTATTACCAATTTAATTTTTAAAAATCTGAAGAAAACTTAAATTTAAAAGTTTTTATTTAATAAAAAATGGATGACTGGAAAAATATTATCCAAGATCAGGGGTCTCCTAACTACGGAAGTTTCTTGGATTACATGGGCAAAATTTTAGAAAATATGAAATTCTTATTTTCTCATGAGAATATTCTGAAATTCTCACTTAAACATGAAGTTAGTACTACATTTATTGCATGAGTTTTTTCTTTTAGCTCATTTCACAACTGAAATTACATTTATAGAAATTTTTTTTTTTTGTCACAAGCCATGGCCTGGGAGATTTAATGGAGGTCTCGATGTGGCATGTGGGACAAGGTGTAGATCTCAATGTGACCCGTGGGCCAAAAAATTTCTGATCTAGACTATCAGACTACTTTAGACTAATAATGATCTTCTAAAAAACAAAGAATAAATTATTTCTGGTATTTTGACCCTCTATTGAAGGCACTGTATGAACTATAATGAAAAACTATACTCAACTATGAAAAAATAACTACTGCAGTTAGGTATCATCCAACATAGGATATTTACAATACCACTACAGAGTGATCTTTATTTTCATACAGAAAAATTAAATTGCAAAGCTTTCGCTTGATGTTAAGTAGCAAACATTATTTTCTGTTGCTTTAAAGGCTTAATTATTTTAAGACCACTTTAAATATTATTATACATAATGTTTATAATAATTTTAAAAAAATTATATACATAAATAACAAACAGTAAACTTACAACAGAATCAGTTGGTATCGGCGGTGGTGGTCTCCTATATTTCACACGTTCTAGCAGAGGTCTCTCAAAGTTTAAGATGTTATCATCTGAAAGAGTTCTATGGAATGAAGTTGGCATGGTCATCGGAGGAATTGGCTGGTGCAGAGGGTCAAAACGTAGACTATGAGTAGAAGATGAAGAATAGCTTGCTGCTGCCGAGTACAGTGGAGAACTAGAGAGGAAGGATGGAGCATAATAGTCTGAGAGATTTTGATTTGATGCAAATTTGTTGTGAGCGAGTTGTTTGTTATAAACTGGAAGGTAGCCACTGGCAACTGCGACATTAGGAGTGCTTCTATACATTATATTTTTACCACTTGGGTATGGTGGAGGTGGGGTTTGCCTATATCCAAGAGCTATCTTCGAGTCCAAATATTCCTGTTTAGAAACAGCTGGATCTTTTATTGGATACATCACGTAATCAACATCTGAGTATAATTGCTGTTTGAACTGTTCAATTTGAGATCTGGTGACCTGGCTGGTGTAAACTGTTGCCAAATTAGGTCTGGGTGGTGGAGGTGGAGGCTGCCTAGTAACTAGATGAGGTGGTGATGGATGGTATTGTTGAAGGTAAGACTGCCTCACATCTAAGTAATTGTTACTTCCGACGATTGGTATCATGTTTGAATTTAACTTCATCCTTGAAGATGGATCATATCGTGCATTAGAGAAGTTAGGATTAGAATTCATATAACCTGAATGAGCAGCAAGTACATTGATCTGTTTTGAAGTAATGTATCGAGTATTTGATTCTTCAGTGGTGGGTGATGGAAGAGAATTAAGGGGATGAGCAATGTCTGAAATATATTGATAATGCGGTGGCACCATTACTGGAGGGAGCATATTTTGTGAATAATAAATATTTGGTGAATGTTGCTTTGGTTGCTCCAGTACTACATAATTCTTTTCATTCAGATTTTGTCTTGGTGGCGGTAATGGAGGAGGAGGAAGAGTAACATAGTCCGAACAAGAATCTAGCGTGGAACTAACAGTTGCTCTTGTAGGGTAGACTCCTCTTCTTGGTTTAGGACTTCTGTGCACAATTAGATTGGATAGCTCTTCAGCAGTCAGAAGATTTCCTCTTCCTGCATCAGATGGATCTGACCCATCTCCATGAAAACTCCCATTATTACTAACCAATGAACCAGACCGTGACCTCTGTCCTGTAACAAGAGAAAAATCTTTTTAAGCTCTAAATTTTTGAAACAAGAATTGATAAAGTTAAAGTGAATAACTTAAATGCAACAAGAATTATTAAATTGTTTAATAAAAACTGTCTTTCTAACTGTTATGACAATTATTCTCATTACTTTTTATTTTTAATAATAGTAATTAAATCTTTCGATATATAAAAAGATAGTCTAAAATGGCTGCCAACAAAGTCTTATTTATATAAATATATATTATAGTTGTAGTTTTCAAAGTACAGTGGTAAAGGCAAAAACATTAGATTCTATTCTACTTTAAATTTCTTAATATAATATTAAAATATTTACCATGAGATTCAAGACCAATGCCGCTGCTGCTTGCAACAGTTTCTAAAACAGTATGGTTGTCAGATGCTTCATCGAGAGTGAACACTCCTGAGCTTGTGGTGCAATGATTTGATTGTACTGAGTAGTCGAGCTCTGCACTCCCAGATAATCCAGAATGCTGAGCGGTGTGACTATAACCAAGTTCTAAGCTTGATGTTACACTTTCACATCTTATCACCATAGTATTCTGAAATGCAAAATAAACAATTTTAAATTGAACATCCATAAATTAAAATAATTATAATCATATATGTTTTATTATAAGGTGTTTTGTGCTATAATCAAAGATCTTTAAAGTATCATAAATCATAAATATTTTACTTTGTTGCTCTGTGTTAGACTTATCTTCTAATGTCACTAAAAAAATAATGGTTTTATAAGTAAATTTAGAATAATTTAGGAAAGGACGTACAAGTTTTCTTGACAAGATCGTTAAGATATTTTGTCAGGAATTGTTCAATGCAAGTAAATTAAAAATAAATTCTGTTACATTGCTATATTATTTTATCTGATTTTTTTGCAAATATTTAAACACACATCATTAATCATCATCAGGGTTGAACGTAAAGAAGATGAAAGAGGAAACAATTATGTAAGTATATAATTGAAAGGTGCTTCGTAAAATTTCAATCTTGTCTTAGTACATAAATAGTGAAAAATGAAGAGAAAAAAACGATTTTTAATGCTTAAAAATTGTATCAAATACATGTACAGGCTTCAATATTAAACCTTCAAATAGAGGCTTCATTTTATGAAAATACCTTGGCTGCATATTTTTAAAAAACCTTTATATTAATATTTCTTTTTTTAACCATTTGCAAAACATCTTTTAAATGTCTAACTTGAAACCGAAATAAAGCCCTTTAAAACTAAAATGGTACCGAAAGTAATTGTCACTGATGGGAATTAGAGAATTCTATCTCCACCACTTATGAGTCTCTGGAATAGGAAAAGACAATGAACACAAATGTTTTTTCCAAAGGACCTCCAATCTAAGGAGAAAGAATGGAGTGTCCTTCCTCATAAGTTTTATGAAATCTATATTATAAATTTTGGTGTAGACCTTTTTTCAGTCCTTATTACGGCTCCAGATATTTTGATACAATACTTACATTACTAATTGTTTCCGGAGAGTGCTGTTGTTGTTGGACAACAATGGTAGAAGCAGAACTCGAGCATTGAGAACCATCCGTAGTTGCTGGTGTCATTGCAACAGGACTTATTTTGTGACCATCCACACAGTCTGCTCCTGAAAAATTAATACATTTGAAATATATATACATATGTTTAATTATTACTTAAATTTAAGTGAAAAAAAAAAATTTACACACACACACACACACATATATATATATATATATATATATATATGGATCAGAGGATGGGCTTGGAACCAATGACAATGGCCTGAGTTTTAGCAGCATTTAGCCTCAATCCGTTTAAGTTTGCCCAGGCATTGATTCGATCTAGGTCTTCTTGGATCTTAGTAAATGCTACCAATAACTCAGTGGGAGGAAAGGATGGATATGTTTGAGAATAGTCTGCATAAAGGTGGTGGGAATAATGGAGAATTGAGTCATGTACATCGTTAATATAAGAGCTAAAAAGGAGAGGAAATATGCTAGATCCTTGGGTCACTCCAGAGGATAAAGAAAGGTAGGCAGATAGTGGTTGATAAGGATATATTATATATATACACACACACACATATATATATATATATATATATATATATATATATATATATATACATATATATATATATATATATATATATATAAAGAGAAAAAAACCCTGAGAATGATATGATTCAATTATATTTACCTTGTTTTAGATCATAGTTGGGCTGAGGACTAGGTGTTGTTTGAGCACTTTCACAAAGGTGCGCCAAAGCTAGGGATTCTACTGATGGAGCAGGTGGTGAATTGATCATGATTTCCAATTCCAAATCATCTACAATGCAATGGAGTTTAAGGTAAGACTATGATTAGCATATGTATTGTAATAATTATTCCTATTAGTTTAAATTTTAATAGGTGATACATTAAAATTTCATTGTTTCATAAGTTTTTTTAGAAAATAACTGTTTTGTTTTTTTAATTTAGTTATCTACTAAATGTAATGACGATAAATAACACTGATAACTTAGTATGATTTAGAGGTATTGTTATATTATTTAAGTATCACAGATAATTATTTCTCATTTTTATGATAGAAATTCAGAAGTTCTTAACATGATTTTTTGCTTTTATAAATTAATTAATGTACTATACAAAAAAATTATACTAAATAACTAATTTTATCTTTTAGTAATCTAATTTTGTTTAGAGTGGTTCATTGCTATACTTTATAATACATTCTACAGCAATACTATTTTCTTACTGTCCAAAACAGATTCTTTTCAGACATCAGCACAATTATCTATGACATTAATTTGATTTCTCTACTTTAGTTTGTTGAGGAGAAGTTCAAATTAGTGAAGTTGGTATTATATCAGTAATAATTTAAGTGTCAGTACTTCTAGTAAAAACTATAAGGATAAAAGTGACAAATACTTTTCAATTAATAAAGATTTGCCAGTATTTTACCTTCACTCTCATCTAAACTATGAACTCTGTCAGAGACGATTCCAGAAGTTGTCGTTGAAGATGTTGATGAAATAACGGATATTCTTTGTTCCCCAGTTCCACCATACCTTGTGGTATATTTTCCTATTTCTACTGGCCATTCACGGTACTGTTTTCTCTCTGTTTAAAAATTTATGTCTTATTAAATATAAATCTAACACATCATGATTTATTAAATCAATTGAAGTATTATATTAAAGTTATAAGGTAATAATTTAGAACAACTTTATAATAGTTGAAGTTTATATAGTAGTTTATATTAAGTGTATACAGTAGGTCATAATTATCTAAAAGAGAAAAGACAGGAAAGTGTTGACATTTTAAGTTTAACATTCCATAAAATCATTTCTAATTTGGTTCTCGAGTCTATCCTGCCATAACGTAATATTTTTTTAATCATTTTTGTAGCAATATTGTTGGCTATATGATATTTGGGCAGAGAAACTTCTTGGTAGTTCATAATAAAATTTATAGAAAAAATAGCTAATTAAAATATAAAATAGATTAACTTATTAAAATAATGATATTCTATCTGTGTTATTCAAAATAATCGTATTTCATTCATTATTTATTATTTAAATCATTATTTGTATTTTATTTTTCTAAAATACAAATAATGATAAAACAAAACAAATAATACTTAAATAATTCTTATGGGCTCTTAAAATCTTCAACATGAATTGGTAATATCAGTAAAATAGTTATTATTATATTTTTTAAATTAATATTTTATTTTGTAAAACATCATACCAGAGGAATTAAATTTTGAGAGCAACTACACATACTATACATAAGCATGGTTCCATGCTTATGTATAGTATATGTAGTTAAAATGAATATATTATACTATGAATGAATGTATTACCATTTTCTTCTCGTCCTCTGATTTGAGCAAGTTTTGGTTGCATTGCCATACTGTATTGGTGGGTTACTTTGCACAGAGCTAATAAATGTTTGCTTTTTTCATCACTGCTAGTATAGTAACAAAATTTTTCTCCGACTGCCGAATTGACTCCACGAATTTCAAATTTTTTCCTCTGAAAATATTGAAAACAAATATTATTAAAAAATATATCATAAACTAGAAACAGATTAATATTTTATAATCAATACTTCATACTTACATCAAAACAAAGTTTGCCTATATCATTCCAAAGAAATTTTCCATTAATTGGTTTTTGAGAACTTTCCTGGGAGAAAAAAAAAAATTTGAATCCTGAAGATTTACAGATGTTTACTTATTAAAAATTATAAAATACTAAAATATAATAAAATTGATTTTATTATATGCAGATATGATATTCTAGTATACAAATTTGTGAGAAGTAGAAATATTTTTATACCTGATATATTTCAACACCCCGAGTACAGATGGCGAGAAGTACAGAACCAGGCTGTGGTTCTTGTTTTGATGTTCGTAGCCTGTATACATGAGAGTTGTGAGGTATAGGAGATGTTTCAAGGGAACTAGCTTCTCTGATGTATTGTTGCCTGGCTAACGATTTGCTCAACCCGCTGTTTGCTCGATGAAGTGAAGCCAAAGTTTGTGTAAGCCGGCTCTCACCGCATGATTCAACCAGCTGTAATACAAAAAATGGATTATTAGTAAACTATAAGTTAGTTCCTATTTATAATTGGTTTATAAACTAACGGTTCTGATAATATTAAAATTTTGGCAATTTAGGACTTGCATAGGCAAGTCATGAGACCAAAAAAAATGATAAACTGTTGTAATTATAAAATAGATCATTATACAAACCTGTTGCGGAAGATAGTTATGAGGTTTTGAGTAACATTGGCTATCATGGGTCTCCCCAAGTTCAGCTTGCAGAGCAAGCCCTGCCAAAATAAACAGGGCCTGTTGAGAAGACGAAGGATGTAGCATACCTCTTTCCAATACATTCTTTTGAAGTTGACAGTAATAGTGTTCCAATGAGACTTCATCTCTGAAAGAAATAAATACAATTATTATCTTCTAGTAAGTTAAATTTAAAATTTACATTTTTCTTGATGCAACTCACTGGAGAAGAAGGGGACTTTCAACATAGAACTGGACTTGGAAGTACAATTCCAACAGTGGTTTTCCATTACTGTCCAATCCCTACAACAAAAATGTAAAGTAAATAATTCGGAAAGTTAAAGATAGTTCTTATGTTATCTTCAGTTCTTATATTTCATATTTGGATAATTACATATAAAATCAGCTTAATTATATATATCCTAAAAACTCATACTCTTCAGAATAACTGTCTGAGAGTGAGCCGCCTATTTCTGACAAGCCTCAAAACGAATAAAGCTTTTGAAAGTGAAAAACTCTCAAATGATAGCTTAAAATACCACACATCAGGAGCTGTAAAAGTTGATTCTGTTCCTGTAGTGATTGATTAGGATGTCGCTTTATTCAATTATCCCATGGATACAATAGATTGTCCAAATTGAATGAATATCTATTCATCATTGTTTGATTCAATACATTGTTCTTATTGCTTATTGGATCATTTCAGAATAACTGTAAATAACAATTGCAACTTCGAGAACAATATTTCTTGTAATGAATATTAAATATTAAAAAGCAGATATACGCATTCCAATTACTTTCTTTTACTGACTATTAAATATCGGTCAGAGGCTCTGTGATATTGGTGACAACTCAAGAGTTAACTCTCTAGTGATACCAAGACATGGTTCAAGAGAAGAATGATTAATAAGGAGAACTACCAATCACTTTAGCAATACATATTTTTCTTAACTGCTTAGCAGTACTTTATTTATATGGTTTTTTTTAAGAATACCAGGCATCCATCATGTCCATTCTGTTTTTCATAATTACAACCTCTTTGGATTTAATAATGACTATTTATCTGAATGATAAGTAGTTTAAAGCGTTTTGACAGAACTTCATTGAAGTAATGAATCAGTTCAGTTATCCACCAGCATCTGACATCTTTATTATTATTTTCGAATCTGATATTACTGTCCTGAAAGGAATGCCCGCATTCCTTTGCCCTATCAAATACCAAGAATGCTCAAATCGAGTATCATGTGCTTTGGTAAATGATACAGAAGACTGATACCCGACAAGATGTGTCATCGCAAGAGAAAAACGGTGAGGACGAAGCCCGTTGTTTGGTTGTGGCCGGTGTGGTTGTGGTTGGAGGGGGGATGTGACCTTGGCTGGTTGGAATTCCTCAGGAAGGTCACGTGCTCTGTGCCCTTATTATGACGTCAGCTAGCCTCCCGTACCTCTGCTCTGGTTACCATCAATACCATGCCATTGTCTGAGCCTGAGGCCTCGGGTTTTTGTTTACACCTCGGCTTTATCTGTCCACACGCCTGTCCAACATACTTCAGCTCAACCCAGTTCTAGCAAACAGCTCAAAACGCTTATATCTTATCCCGAGCTAGTCGAAAGAAAGATTTAATTTCTGAGTTAAAGCTGACCTTATCTGCAGATACACTGCCTGTGGAATCAAGAATCACACAATGGGCAAAGAATCTGTTCAATTATAACATGCGACTCGGGAAAGGTAGGGAAGGAATTACATCGCCATTGATCCACAAGTATTTGGATGAAGCGAAGAACCATTCAACAGTTAATGTTAAGCATGGACGCCTGTACAATAAAACCTTTAGTTCGAGCCTTCCTTCATTGTTTCATTGGATTATAAATAATATTTACATTCGATGCGAAATGTATGAAAGCCGTAAATTCATTAGGATATCGCTTTCTTTTAAACATACATTTATTTTTAAATCTTTAAATAATATGGGAAAAAAATTATGCTTTCAAGATTTTAATTAATAAATCATTTTGTCATTAATAGCTCTTTGTGTCAATCATTTTACATCAAGATTTTTCCATCTTGCTCTTTTTGATAGGAAAGGTATTATACTAGAAGCGATGTCAGTAATTCTAGATTTAATAACTTGTTTTTAAAATTATAAATTTTAATAACTATTGACAAAATCTAAAAAAAAAAAATACTTTTTTCTAGATTAAATTAAATTTCCAAGTCTTTCTGAATCAATTGTGAGCTAGTTTACTCAAAACATTATGCCTGAATCCTTCTACAGTCTTCTAAATAAACACTTAGTTTTTTACTTTCAACTATTAAACCACTAATCAGATAAAAAGTTAATTAGACCTGGCTATAAATTCAAATTTAATTTAAGATGTTATATAACCGGAACGATGGAAAATTTACCATAATACTGTTTGAGAAGACAGATTATAATCAATATTAGTTTATCCAATATTATGCCAATTCTTTTTATTTATTTTTTTAATATAATCATTTTATATTATACATGGGCGTATCTAGAAGGGGGAGAGGGAGTAGTAGAATATGTAATATTTTTCCGATATGGAAACAATTCTAAAATAAAATAGCAATAAGTATAAAAAATAAATTCTTGAAAAACAATTACAGCGAGATATTGTTTTTTTGTGTTTCAACATTATGAAACAAACTAAGTAAAAAATTAAGTCTTAAATTAATATCCCTACTTTCCGACTACGCCTTTGTATTCATTTGTGTAATCGATATATACTTAACTGAACGGTGCGTTACTGAATGAAGCAATTATTTCAAGATTTTTCTGGGATACATTGGTAAAATTAAAATAATTTCAAAGTTCGATTTTGTAAAGGACAGTTTTAAAGTACCACACGTGTCACCAGATGTTCCGATTCAAGATTAAAACAAAATGTGATAACAATTGAAGGCAAGTAACACTTGCATATAACGCGTAGATATTAGAAGTATCAGAAAAATGTTCATTGCAAGTATTTGACCACTTGTGGATACTTTCAATTTTATATTAAAGTGATGAAATTATTATATATTTTTTTATAGGTAAGCTTATTAATGAGAAATATAAATATCGCGAAACATTCATCGTATGAAATATCACGTTTAAATTTCATACTTAAAGGTCTTTTTAAGTGAAAGTCATTGAAAATAACCCACTTGCCTTGAAATGAATCATACTTGAAGCATGTTAAATCATTCTATTAGTTATTTTCATGTTTCATTTACTTTCTATTTTTTTTTTTTTTTTCAAATCTTTTTAAATAGAGGTTGACTTTAATTACAGAGTCTGGATGAAAAATAAAATCAACGCCTTCCTTTGAATTACTGCAGTTAACACCAATGTCATAAAATCTGTTATTTATTTAATTTTAAATATTAACAAAATATATTAGATATATCAAGGTAGTTCTCATTTATTGTAGAATGCAAAAGTAAATTTGATTGTCAATAAAAATTGACGAAATAAATTAATGCCAATTAAAAAATGAATTTCCTTCATTTATACCACCATTAATCAATAATAAAAAAAAAATATATCGCCGGTTTATTATTGAAGATGCTAAACTTTTGTGGAAGGAGCTACTGTTTCGTATTTTGTGAATCTTCACCTTATTATAAATTATGTATTATCATTTATGATTTTTTTTTTCACTTTATTAAATTTAAAGCAAGTTGATTTTTTGGACTAAAGTGATAAAGGAGAATTAATAGTTTTGAAAAGAATTTTGTCAAAATATGAAACATCCTTTTAAAGATGTTTTCATGGAAAAATGGATTTAAAAATGCTTTAATGTTCAATTATTTATTTTTCTGTAGTGATTCGAATGTATCAAGTACCCTCACAAAAAAAAAAAATGTCTACATACCAATCTAAGTTCATTTTTTATTAGAACGTTATTAATATGCCATTTAAGACGTGAAATTCTTGATCGAAGTAAAAACCACAATAATAACACCCAATACTTCTAGTTTATGAGGAAATGCTAGAATTTCACAGAAGTTAACGGTTATTTCATTCGAGAGGTAAGAGTTTCTCCGGCCTATCCTGATAAAGAGGGAATTATTCCCTTCTAGAGGGAATATTTCCCACCAGAGACTCTGGTTTCACGCTTTGGAATTCCTTCCCAACCCGACCCAGGCTGCATTTCTCTTCTGCCCTCTCTACTCCCTACTCTATCATACCTATACGTATCTCTTTAATCGCCAAACAGAAGACAATACTAAATTTAAAATTACGTTGTGTGGTATACAAACAGTTTTTATTTTAACAGACGGATTTACATAATAACTTTACTTAAAATTTGCCGAAAGACATAAATAAAGAAAGTTGATGAAGCATATTTGTATATAATCGGAAGGAAGTCAAGTTACAGTTTATTTTAAATAGATCGAAACAAGTATTCTTTATTTATAATCATTACAAAGAAAGATATAATATCATCAATTATATTACTTTAGTTTTAAAATCCAATGCAAAAACAAACAACAATAGATTAGTGTTTAAGTTCTTCCAATGTATAAAAAAAACTTAAAACAATACATTACGCAACCAACTACTTTATCGTAAGTTAATGCATTAAAAATCCTATACATAGTATTTTGCAATTGAAGTTGAATACCAATTAAAATTCTACAACTAAAATTTAATTAATTTGTTTTAATTTAATACTATTCATAAAAATACCGATTTGCACGGCTAGCGTGATTCTCCGATATTTTTACCCAAGCGGCACGAGGGTTATATCATAGTAAATAGTAATATTATTTATTTTTTTATTTAAAGTATAAATATTTATTAAGAAAATATAAGCTATGGCAATTACTAATTTTGATTTCATGAGCGAATAATCGACTTCTTTCACACTATTCGTTGAGATATTTTCCAAGACCATTTTCTTTGGATTTAAGCGGATCTAAATCGCGAGTTTTATGAAATTCAGCTGATTCGTTCAACATTTACATACTTTCTATGACCATAAATCAAATAAAAAGTTTAAGAATTGTTCAAAATTTCTAGGGCGAGAATAATGAAAATCGTCCACTAAATTGAAATTAATTAATTTCTTTTATGTAAGAAATGAGAAAGACATTTTTTTGTCAAGTTAACTAAAACGGGCAAGAAGGATTTTGATACTTTTTTTCTGGTACAGCTGGAACGGTTTCGCTTAAAAGCATTGTCATTGGTTTAATTAAGAACATGACAGTCATGATCACTTTTCTATTTCTTGTTTTTATGTAACGATTAATTTTATTTTATACAATTACAAACGGTCAATAAGACCTAAGAATCTAGGATTTTCCATTTGAATAAAAAAAGGAAAGAATGAAAATATATATTTTTTGGTAAAAAATTTAAATTGCTTATATATGCCAATGAAACAATAAAGTAATACCAATTAATGATCTGAAAATAAAATTTTAGAATGTTTTTATTCAAATAACTTTGTGCAGATTTAAAAATAAAAATAAATAAATATTCTGTTGAAACATTTACCCAAGGATTTCAGCAAAAAAGTTCAATAAATTATTTAAATTAATTTCATAAATATTAAAAAATATATATATTTCACAATTAAATTGTATGTTGTAAAAATATTTTTTAAAAAATTAGAAAAACTAAGATCCTATTTAATTAACTCTAAATTTTATTAAATTATATTGTTAACTAATAACTTACATTTGTTGATGAAGACCTCCAACTTTTCGGAGCATATTTGGATAATTTGTAGTCCGGTTCAATGAATATGTATTCGCCATCTAAAACGGAAATCGACATAATATTATTTCAAATAAGTAAGTATATTCCTTAAAAATGTATATATTTTAAACACCTGAACTTTCAGAACTGGGTCCTAATATTTAAGCGATGTAAAGATCTTATTTCGCTATGGTCTCCACTACTTGCTCCGAAAAGTTCATTGTAGTATTACAAATCATTACAATAAACTATAACCATTAACCAATATTTCTAAGACTTATTACTAAATGGTCAACTAAACAATTAAAAAATAAATAAATAGATTAATTATAACTAATTTTGAAAATTATTATAAGGAACACTTAAACATAAATAACAGTTACTTTTGTTTTTATAAAACGATCCGATTTCTCATTTTTATATTAATTAATAATCAGGAGATGCAAGGAGTGTGAATAATTAATTTGTACAACAAGCTCAAACAAATATAAAGTGATTCGGTTTTATTATATTTTTGATTTGATTAAATTTTTAATCCGACTTATCGTGAAAAAATGAGACAGCTGATGTCTCACTAAATTATCAGTTATCAGCCGTCGTCACTTATAAATTCTCATTTGAATATTTATTTCATGGGGTTTCAAACATTATCGCTTAATAGCTCCCAAAACTATAAGCCACTCATCCAACCACAACATACATGAGAGATAAGGGAGACGGAATTAATGAGGGACTTCATCGCCGGATAATGGATTGCTTATCGAGGAGGCAGCGGTTGTTTACAATAGGAAAGGAAGCGGTAAAAAGTAGAAAAGGATTGAAGGAATTGGTCATGGTCAGAAAGGAGCTGTAATCCCCTCTCCGGTTTTTATGAATGACTGACACATCTCAATCCGGTTGGTCCGCCTTCCATTGACTGTCCAGGTTTGTCCTGGCACCTTAGTACTCCAGTGTCCACCGTCCCATCCTCCAGTCCCGAGAACCGCCTTCAGGTTGACATGGTCATAGGCGACCTTTCGGCAGGCAAGTCATGTTGTTCTAGCGGGAGGAAGTCATTTTCTATTTCCTCGGACACAGCCATTATTTATTCATATAAATCGCGTGTTTTCCTTCCGCTATATTCACGAACGTTATATTACCTTGTCTTCTTCAGAAAGCGTACATTGTAACATACAATCAACATTGTTGTAATCATATCCTTTGGAATAGAAGGTTAGAAAAATCGGACCTCATTCTAAATATCAGATCATCTAAGAGGGGTATTTAATCAAACTAAGCACCTAGAATCCTACGCGGGTGTGACCTTCGATTCAATTTATAATTTCATTTAATTTGAATTTTATATATATTTAGATAAAATTCACAAATTGCAAACCAATGGGGGCGAATATACTGCTTCAATGCAAGAAATAGAAGATTATTTTCTGAACAGAATAAAAAATAAAAGTTTATTCTGGGACAAGGACCCTTAAGAATAACAAACATATACAATGAAAATAAAATATAACTGACCAAAAAATAAAATTAATAATTCTACATTAATAAAATTATAAGCAATAAAAATATATACACAACAAAAAAATAAAGTCACTTCGAGAAGAAATATAATTAAAGTGAAAGAAATAAAAATCGATTTTTATTAATATTCACAAAAAAATACAGATTCCCTCTATTTGGTAAAGGCAACTGAAAAACTGAAAAGCAAATTTAATTTTATACCATGCTTGCTTCAGACTTCATGATTTTATTTATAAAGATTGAAGTGACAAAAGAGTTACCCCAATAAGGACATAACTTTGAAAACGAACAAGCAACATATAAGAAGAATTGAGAACTAATTATAGTTGGTTGGAAGAACTCATCAGAATATTGACCAAATAAAATAAAATAAACAAACCTTAGAAGCCTCAACGTGAAGTTTGACATGAAAAAATCGAAACGTTTTTGTCAAATATCAAAGAACAGACAATGTACTTTATTCCGAACAAGAACAGACCAGAGGACAACTAATGCTTAGTGTCTTTGACATTGAAATATCATTTCAAGAAGATGAAACAAACTGTAGACTTCACTTGAATAAGGAAATAACTTAAAAACTGAAAATGATTTGAAAATTCTTGAAAATTATTTGCATAAATAGAAATTATTCACGTTTGCTAATAAGATAAAAAGTTCAAGAATAACAATATAAGATTCAATAGCAAACGATACCATGAGTGTGTCCCAACAGTGAAACATTACAGAAGCCTATTATGCGACGGATATAAAGGAAGAGAGAAATGTACAAGATAATTACAACTAGTTTATTTCAGCAATAATAAATAAAGCTACAATAAATCTATAGGAGCTTTTACCGAGCGGGATACAAGACAATAATATATCATAGCGGGGTCGGGAGGAGGGGATAGGAGGGGGATTAAAAAAACTGTGACTGTTGGCTACCTGGCTTAACCCACTCCTCCTACCGTCTTTAAGCCTCATTTTTTCCTCTCTTATTTATCTCCATTTGCTCATCCCTCACGCAATGGCCGATAACCTATAAGCCTCATATGTTTGCTTTAACAATCGTCTATGCTGATAATTTGCACTTTATCGATTTTAACATATCCTCCATAAATGCTGGGAAGTTCCCATTCACCATGAAAAAAACAGTTTAAACAATAATAGCGATTTGGATTTTGATAATATTTTTCCCATAGTACAAAAATCTTTACTCAATTACTTCATTAGATTGACAATGTTTCAGTAAGCTGTTGGCTTATATATTATTTATCTGAATTAATTAATAAATACATTGGCGGAATAAATGTTTATCCTTACATAATACATGTCCACACAAATTTACTTGGCAGCAATCTGGAATCCGTGATTGCCTCAATAAAAAAAATATTTATATATTGTCAGTTTATTTAAATTAAAATGTACATCAAATTTGAAGCATTTAATTTTGTGACCACGCGCTTCAATTTCAATTTAGAAAATGTCAAAGCGAACGAAACATCCTTAATGTACAAAATTAAACTCTGTACAAAGGAGTGGAATTCAGAAAACACTCAACCATCTCAACACAATAAATTCAATGTGCCTATATTGTGAAGCGCAGTTGTCTCTAATGATTATGACAGTCATAAGTAAATAAAAAAAATTAATATTAGTAATTTCTCAATAAATTGAACCGCATTCCTTTTATTAGCCAATATATAGGAATAAAATCTTGTTATTGTGGATACGGGAAAGTACATTTGAATGTCAATGGGAAATATTTCTTTACCTGTTGTTATGTGAGAAACACACAGTTCTACTTGAGACTCAAAGGGAATCTTAAATTATTTATTATGCACATTGGATACTGGGGATTTTATCTAATAATGTCGATGACCTGTTGTGGATACTGGAATCTTTATTAGTTTATCATCTGCACTTAGACGTTAGTTTGAATCTTCCAGTAATTTGATGAAATTGATGAAAACAGTACAGCATAGCTTCTACCTTCGAAAAATCGATGTAAAATTGGGTTTTGAAAACAAGTATATTTCTATCTTCTTCATTTGCCAGGATCATATTTTTACTTAGTTAAGCTAGAAGAAATATTGAAAAACGTTCTTCAGATAATTATTATTACTTTGGGTCAGTTATCTAGTTGCGTTCAACTTCAGCGTAAAGATGGATTTGAATATTTGGGTTGTGATGTATTAAATCATACCTTCGATAAGGTAAAAAAGATACTATAAAAGTAATAGTACCATTCCTATTTTACAAGCGAAATGGAATTACTATTTTGAATTTTTTTCTAAAAGAAGCGAAGGATAGACAAGAGAGAGAGAATGGACCGGGCGAGACTAGATGTAGAGGAATGATGAGAGTGTGTAGGCCAGGTAGCCCGAAGTCTTTAAGTTTTTATAATTGCCTCCTTGGAGAAGATAAATCGTTGCCATGGACCGCTCCGACCGATTACAAAAGAAGGAACGACTGGCACGCCTTGTATTTCACTTCATTTATGACCAATAAATTCTTTTGTACCTCGTTTATCAGCGAATCGAACAAATAATATGGGGAGTTTGTTTTTTTCTAGATAGTTGTGTTTTTTTTTTCTTCTTAATTATGATACCGATTAGATCATCGTCTGTAATTCATTACGATCAATACACATACAAATTTTACATCCTCCTTCCTCATTTAATAACGATCCAATGCCATAATGAATAAATATATTGTTAGTGAAGTTTTTAATAAATTTAACTATTTATAATATGATCTCCTATGAGACAGAGAATAGATGTTGTGATATAAATCAGATAAGAGATATATAATTGAGAAAATTCAACCACACATCCTTGTCTATCTGAAATGTAGATGAAGAACAAAATAACCCGACAACGCTTTGGCAATACAGCAGCCCAAGTTTATTAAGCAAATTAATCTTTAAAAATTAATTGATAAAAATATGAGGAATTTTAGTGATATATATGTTTTAGTAATACAATTTTTTCAGTTAATATAAATCTATCAGAATTATTGACATAGCAGCTCTCGAAATATCCAAAGAACATGTTTATAGAGTTCTCTTACTTTCAACGAACTTATTTTTTTTTTTTTTACAATTTAAGAACTGTGTGGACTGTGGGTAGAAATCCATTTTCAAACATATAATATAGTATTTAGATTTTTAAAAATATTCAATAGATACTTAAGATTTTTCAGATTGCAATAAGTCAGAAACTTCCTTCACAATTACAAATGAGTCTTTCCATGGTTATCGTATATATATATATATATATATATATATATATATATATATATATATATATATATATATATATATATATATTGTTCAAAAGCACAAAGTCATTCGATCACCAATTGTTTTTATTTACTTTATAATTTTAAAAGACGACATTTCGTCTACTTTAAGGGCCATATTTCATGGCCAACATTCTTCTTCATTTATTTTAGTAAAGAACAAATATGTCAAGTTGTTCCCATTGTTTTATTAAATTTACATTGAGATCCTCAAAAACGTCTATCCTTGTTATCCTAATATGACAATGGGAAACCCTAC